AATAGATGATCTATACCTCATTAGAACCGTCTCAGTGAGCTGATTCGAATGGTGGTGGTTTCATCGAATTCTGTCCAGTGGTTCAAGAGTTATGATCATTTTTGTAGGTTAACAATATGATCTGGTAAAAGAGTGTCATTAGGAAGATATTTGTAGGTTTCATTATAAGATAAATTAACAGAAAATGTAATACTAGATACAGTTTTGTTATTATATTTGTCAATATGTTGAATTAGAGTTTGGATAGTTTGATCATAAGGAAGAAGTGGTAAATGATAATAAAGAAGAAATTTGTTAAAGTATGTATGAAGATCATATGAGATTAAAGATGTAAATAATCTTTCAAAAATGTCTTCTACAGGGTCAATTACCATATGCTTGGCTCTCACAGCTGTGCAAAGTACCATAGTTTGCCCTATATGTTGAGTTTAACTGTTATTATCCTGGTCTTTCACATAAATAGACTTTCAATCTGTCTACTTATTTCATTTTCCTTACTAACTATAATGGTGTATCTTTTAGTAAGGTGGTGGCTGCTTTAATGTTAGTTGTAAAAAACAAAGAACTTAAAAAAGGAATTGTAAAAATAGTGAGTCTATAATGGAAACAGGTTGAAAGTCAAGATTAAATTTTTTAGATAAGAATTTTTCAGCTACTAGATAGGCAGTATTATTAAAATATTTAACTATTTGTAAATAGGTTGGCTTTTGATTTTTGATAACATCAAAGTATGTAATAATTTGAGCAAGAAATTTTGTATCAATGATGTTTTTTGTGAGTAAGTTAATAGCCTCCTCTTTGGACAGAGACTGTATATTATAATTTTCAGTAGCAGTTTAATAGTAGAGAGAGAGATAGCAGTAGAAGTAATAGTTGTAACATTTAGAATTAGTTTTAACTTTGTTTTGTTCATAAACAAAGTTTTCAGCTTGGTTAGCAAGTTTGTCTAAGACTTTAGTAGGGATAGGTTAATCAAGTGAAGCAACATGTTCTTTATATTTGTAGAATAAAGTAGAATTGAGAGTTGGATGAATCCAAGTTTCATTATCCTGAGGAAAAAATAATGTGTGAGATTTAGTTAAAATGTCATTAAATAGCTTAGTACTGTCATGAAATTTTTTGTCATCAAGGTATTGACAGTCTTTGTTATTACAAGTTAGACAATGAAAATTAGTAACACGAGATGCTTCTTCATGTCACTCTTGAAGTGAATTGGGTTTTTTAAATATATAGGTCTCAGAAAGATGTTTAGAGAGTTGAAGGATAAAATGTTGATAGAATTGAATTCTAAGAGAGGTGTGAACTTTTTCTTTGTCAATATTAGAAGTAAATTGTTTACTAAAGAAGAGTAGTAGATATTAAACCAGAAGTTAAAGTGATCAAGAGAATTTTTTAGTGAAGAAATACAAAATCTCTCAAGAAAGAGTGTTTTGGCAATATTAAAAAAGAGTTTAATATTAAATTTAGTATCTGACTGAATAGTGAGAGATTTTTGTTTAAGGTCAGTAGTTTGTATAAAATATTTAATTTTAAATCTTTTAGATCTAAGCTGAAGATCTTCAGCAAATTTTTGATAATCAATAAACTAATAGTTATTTGATAAGAAAAGATGAAGACGAGCAAGATTGAGGCAGAGTTGGAGATGGTTGTAGCCTGTGTATAAAAGAATAGTAACTGGTGAAACAAAAATTTTGAGGTAGTTAAGTTTGGTAAAGAGAATAGTTGTAAATTTAGGGATAAGGTTTTTAAGAGTAGATTTGAGAAGTTTGAAAGAAATGGTAGCACTTTTGTCAATATTAAGATTACTGTTGTAGATAAGATCAGTTAAAAATTCAGGCCATTGCCTAGCCATAATACAGATAATATAGTAAAATGAGACTTTTAGTGCAGGTTGGGTAGCAGTAGCTGGCTTAATTTTTTTGCCAGAATAGAAATCATAAGGAATTTTTAAGGAATGTAAAAAGTTAGAAAAAGGATGAAGTTTGCAATTTTCAAGTTTATAATTTAGTCATACTACTATTAAATTATTAATACAATATTTATAATTTTAAAGTTAATCACATTTGAATATTGGATCTAAAAACCTTATATCTTTACAATATAAGAGGTTAGATGGTAAGTTTATTTAAACTTTATTAAACCTATTTATTCATGAAGTTGTCTATCTCATTCTGATTATAATAATATTTAAATTCTTCATGATTTAGAAAGTTTTAATGAGCCAAGAAACTTTATGATAATTGAGATAAGAAGCTTTGCTGAAGCAAAAGATCTTGTTAAAATTGATATTGAGACAAAGAATTTGGTTGAAGTGAAAGGTTTTGTTAATGCAAGAGATCTTAAAGAAGAAGATGTTCTTAAAAAGAAAGATGTGCTTAGAATAGAAGATCTTGAAAGCTTTGTTGAAGCAGAAGGTCTTGAAAGTCTTGTTAGGGTAGAAGGCTTTGTTAAGACAAAAGGTTTTGTTTTAATTTGAGGTCTTATTAAAATAAAAATATTGTTAGAAAGTTTATTAAATTAAAGTTATGAAACTAAGTTTTTTTAGCATTAAAAATAAATTCATTAATTTTATTATTATTATCAATTTTATTATTGTTATTTTCAATATAATTATAATTAAAAATTAAATTGTCTTCTGATCTATCAGTTGCAACTGAGATGCTGTAACATTTAAAAGAATTTTGAATTAGCTGAGTATTAATAGCACTTTATGCATTCTTAACCTATTCTGCAATTAAATTATATAAGAAACATTTAATTCAATCAGATTCAGTTAATTCTCTTATTTCTTGTAATATCTATTTATTATACATAGATTTAATCTATTAATAAAAAAATGCATTAATATATATTAACTATAAAAAAAAAAAAAAAAAAAAAAAAAAAAAAAAGATACATTTTTGCTTTAAATGATTTGTTAAGTGATATATCGAGTGGTTGAAGTTTTGATGTTAATCCTTCAGAAATGATTGTAATATTGGTATTTTTTTCAACAAACTTATTTTTAATAAAAAAACAATATAACCTTGAAAAGAATCTATTACTAAAAGTAACTGTAGATTCTCAGAACATTGTATATGGTTTTGTCAAATCTTATCTATTTAAAAGCTTATTTTTATTTTATTCATCCATCTACTTTCATTAGCTCTAATAATTACATCTAATAGAAACTCAAGCTGTGGAACATTTTTTAATTTAAAAATAATCATTGAAGGTAATTTTCTACCATCTATTATACATGCAAGCACAACAGTAAAACAGGATTTTTTATAACTACAAGTTCTAATACTAATTGTTTTATTGTTTTTATTATCTATAGTTATGTTGCTTGGCATATTAAAAAAAAGAGATGTTTCATCTATATTACATATTAATAATAATAGATAATTATATTAAATATAGCAATATTGAACAAAATTAAGAAATCTTTGTCATTGCTTAGGAATTTTATTTTCAAGAAGGCAATAGTTAAAGAGAGCAATAATAGCAGAAGTGTATTGATGGCTAATATGTTTGAGCATTTTATAACTAATGCCTGTAGAACCACAGTCTTTGTTATTAGGTAGTTAAAAGAGAGTTCTTAGAAGTTCATCATTAGTAATAAGGGAATTAAGAGAATGATGCCAAGTTGGATTAATGTGAGAGAGTGAAAGGTAGTGTTAATGTTAGAAATTATTAAGAGGGTTTGATTAATAGGTTTGTGTGCAGTCCAGTTTTGAAAATAAGATTGAATATGTTGTTTAATAATTAGTGGGTCAGTAATAAGCTCTTAAGGAAGTTTTATATTAGTGAAGTAGACAGGTTGGTAGTAATGATTGAGAATGCTGTTAATAGTTTAAGTAGGATGTGTTGTAAGGTTAACACATCTTTTGTCAAGAGCTTGGTTAATTTGTTGTTGAAGTAAGAGGAAGTTTTCAAGATAGTGAGCATAAAAGAGTTGTTTCCAAATTGAGTGAGCATGTTGAAGCTAAGTTTGAATAAAGGTTGAATTTGTAAAGGTAAGTAATTGAAGATCACATTGTGACTATTTATTAATTAGAAAAATATTTTGATTAATATAGGAGATATTGGAATGTTAAGTAAGTTTTTTAATAAGTTTAATAATGTGGCCAAGTTTTTTAAGAGATAGATGTAATAGGGTGCTGTGAGGTGAGTATTAATGGTTGTAGCTGTGTTTGTAAAAGACATTGTTAAGAATAGTATGGGTAGCAGAGTAAATAATAAAGCATTGAATTTTGTGCCAAGTGGTTTCAATGCTCTTATAAGTTTCATTGTTGGTAGAAGTTTTGTGTAATAGGAGTTGTTAATATAAGGTATCTGTAAAGGATTCTCAGTTTTCTGTAGACATGGCTGTGTAGTTGAAAATATGGCAGTTAATTCCAGTATATTTATATAAGAGTTTGCTATAAGCATATAGAAATGTCCAGGTAGAAAAAAGAATTAGATGATCACTAGAAGTAGTAGTTTGACTGTTGTCAAGACTGTAAAAAAGAAGGAATTGTATATTGAATTGGTCAGTTCAGATGTAGTTAATACAACTACTGCTAGTATTGTTAGACCAAGTAAAGTGTTTGTTGTTAAAGTGAGCTCCAATATCATACATATTAGAATTATTAAGAAAGTTAATAACTTTGTATTTAGAAGAGAAACTGTAGATGTTGTCCTATATATTGAAGTCACTAAAAATAATAGAATGAATATGAAGTTAAGAGGCTTATTGGATCCAGTTAATTACTTTATTTTGGGTTTGGTTGCAATAGAAGTATCAGTTGATAGCAGGTATATTAAAATAATGTAAAGCTTGATATTATTTCTAAAGAAAATATTAAGTGCTATAGCACCTCCAAAATAAATATGAATACTATGAATATGAGGTTAGAGATGGTTATAAATTATAATAACAATGCCTTCTATAGAGGTAGGAGATTTAGACTAATAGTAAGTAAAAAAGTTATTATTACAAAAAAAAAGGTTAGATTTGTTAGAAATTTTTGTTTCTGTGATGCTTGCAATGGATATGTCATAATTTCAGCAGTAATCCTGCCATGCTTCTCTTTTAGTAGGTTTATTAAAGACTTTAACATTGTGTGTAGCAATAGTTAGATTCAGATAATATAGAGTTGAATTTGATAATAGTAAGGAAGAATTATGATTAGAGGTTGAGAAATGGTTATCAAAAAATAAATTAGATGAAATAGAAGTAGGATTAAGGAGTTAGATTTAAGAGGAAGATTATAGAATATAGGAAGAAAATATGAAGTAATAACAATATGATCTGGTAAAAGAGTGTTATTAGAAAGATATATATGAGTTTTATTGTAAGATAAATTAACAGAAAATATAATACAAGATATTGTTTTGTTGTTATTATATTTATCAATATGTTGAATTAAAGTTTGAATAGTTTGATAATAAGAAAGAAGTAGTAAATTGTAAGAAAAAGAAATTTGTTAAAACATGTATGAAGATTATAGGGGATTAAAAATGTTGTAAGTAATCTTTCAAAATTGTCTTCTATGGGTTCAATTACTATATGCTCAGCTTTTACAGCTGTGCAAGGTACTATAGTCTGCTCTGTATATTGGGTCTAACTGTTATTATTCTGGCCTTTCATATAAATAGGCTTGTTTACCTGCTACTTATTAAGCATGTAATTTTTAATTATCTGCTTATTTAATTTATTTTAATTTATGTAAATCTACTTACAACATTTAATATAATATTGACAGATTTTATATAATACTAACAGATTTTATTATATAAAGGTAAAGATAAAGATGACATCTTTATGAAAATTGCAAATATAAATAAATTGGATATTGGATCAATTTTTTTTTTTTAAAAAAAAAAAGAGTTAATTTAGAAATTTTCTTTCTTAAGTTCTTTTGCATAAAGAATTAACAGAAGTTCTAATAGATATTAATATGCACAAATGAAACCTTTGCTTTGTCTATTAATCTAATATTGACCCAATCTTTAAAGAGTCTATAACACTTTTAAGTTATAAACATATTTTTCATAAACAATGCATTAAATATTGAACTCATTGTCTACTATGTTGTGATAATCAAAGTTCACTATATTGTAATGATTAAGAAAAGTCAATAAGCAATAGTTCTGAAATAACAAGTCAGCTCTATTAATTTTTTAATAAACTTTGAAACTGATAATTATATTACAACTTTACCTATTTTCATATATACAACTATTACCAATATTAATTTTGCACCTATGTCTATTATTACTACCACCACTAGGTTTCCTGCACCTATGTTACCATTACTGCCATCACTATATTTCTGTACCTATGGCTACCATTACTACTACTATTATATTTTCTGCTATCATATCTTTCACAGTTACAACAACTACTACTGGTAACACATCTGCATCTATATTCACTACTGATAATATCATATCTGCACCTACATCTACCACTAACAATATCATGCCTGTATCTACATTTACCACTACTACCACCAATATATCTTCTGCACCAATATTTGCCACTACTACTATTACCAAAGCTTTCACATCTACATCTACTATTACTAATATTACATTTGCTACCAATATCTCACCTGCACCTACATTCATTACTATTATCAATATTACACCTGCATTCACATCTACTACTGATATTATGCCTGTACCAACATCTACTACTATTATCACCATTATATCTTCTTTACCAACATCTGCCACTACTACTGCTACTATATCTTCTGCATCTACATCTACCACTACTATTGATGCTATATCTGCACCTACATTTACTACCACTACTGCCACACCTGCATCTACACCTACTGCTATTATGACTGAGAAAATGTAATGTTTAATTAAAGAATTAAATACACCTATTATAAGAAATAATTATAATCCTAACAACAATAGTATTAATACTAATGACAATATTAATGTTCCAATTTTAGTACAACTTTTTAATAAGGTTTTATGTAGAGTAAAAAATGAATCTAGTGACAAGCTAAAAGTGATTAGATGCTGGTATGAGTTTTCACAGGAATTTGAATGTCAAATCAAGAAAAAACTAAGCAAACATCAAACAAAAAAATATACCATCTAAAGTGTACAATGAACTAATAAAGCATATTCTTTTACATATTTAAATTTAAGAAAAAGAGTTGAAAAAACAAATAAGGTGTATAAATTATTTGAGGGAGTTAATGTTGAAAAAATTAAAAGGATTAATATCACAACAGCAAATGAAATTTCTAATTTCTTCTAAGAACAAATAGATTTAATAATTTCTATATATCTAGTAATTAGTCATTATTATTAAATAAATAAATAATTTGTTTCTTTGTTTATTATATTTTAGTATTTTTTAATATATTTATTATTACAACAAATTACTTGGCCTTTTCAAATTAAATTTACAAGTAGATTTGTAGGTACTAATTTTGTATTACAATGTATTATATTAACCTATGCATATACAGTAATTTGAAAATA